CCCTTGTAGAGACGGAGACGATTGGAACGAGCAGGAAACATGAAGAACCCCAATATAGAACACTCGCAGTGGTAGGGGAGAACACGTGGTTTAATACTGAAGGAACTTTGGACGCTCGATTAGCCGTGGCATCTCCTGCCCTGTGTCTTCTAGCTGCGACAAAGGCAAACAAAACGCTTCATCAGTTACTGAAAACTGTGGCCTCAAGAGACATGATAGTCCTTCTCCCGCTCTACAAAGCAATCGTGAGGCCTCACTTAGAGCACTGTGTGCAAGCCTGGTAGCTACCCCTCGCAAAGGACATGGTGATAACAGAGAATGTACAAAGGAGGTTCACTAGGCGAATCAGAAGGAAGAAACAGTTGGACTACGACGGCAGGCTGAGAGAACTTAACCTGTTCTCTTTGGTCAGAAGAAGATTAAAGGGAGACCTCATGAAAGCCATTAAGCAACCAAAGGGTCTATCCAGTACGGGAACGCAATTGCTATGCAGGAATAATAACCTCGCTCTGCGAGGAAGTGAACTCAAGCTTGAAAAACCGAGAGCACTGCTCATTGGGTGATTAATGGTCGACGGCTGGCTAAACGAGCTCTGCGATCGAAACTGAGTTGGGATGGTTGATTATGGGACAGTTCTTGAGCGTACCAGCTTGCAAACAAATGTTTACAGTTACTCGGGAGAGTGGAACTAGCATCACGTTGGAGGATTTATACAAGAAGAAGTTTAAAGACCTGCGTACGATAGTCATACATCACTCCGAGGAAGATCGTTGAGCGTTACAAATAGCAGAGGAATCGATAAACCGTGACTGGAAACGACTTAGCATCGGACTAACGTGAAAAACCAAACCACAAATCATGCTGAACAGCAACGAGCTAGTGTTTCGGAGGTTAGAATTCCTGAAAAGCAGGTTTATGCGAGATCCAAATTTATTTAATAGGTACAACATTTTATTGAACGACCACTTTCGAAAGGGCTATTTCGACTGTGTACCTGACTATCAACTGGAAGTCGCGTACAGACCTAGGTGGTACTTACCACATCATGCGGTGGTAAACCCAAAGAAACCTGAAAAGGTTAGAATAGTCTTTTATTGTGCAGCCACCTATCAAGGAAGTTGTCTTAACCGACACTTATTGTCAGGACCAAATACCATAGATAATTTGGTTGGAATACTGCTGCGCTTTCGCTTCGGCAAAGTAGCTGTAGCAGCAGACGTACAAGAGATGTTTGTGCGGGTTAGAGTGCCTGAACGTGACTCGGGGGCATTTAGGTTCCTATAGAGGCCTGATGGAAATCCAAGCCACCCATTTGGTGCCACCTCGCCGCCATTTTGTGCGAACTACGCCTTATGCCGCACGGTCGAATCATTTACAGACATAGGCAATGATCGAGTGAGATTTACAATTGGACGATATTTTTACGTCGACGACTGTTTAGCGTCGTTTGAAGATGC